TAGACAATTAAAAAACTATAGACTATTAAACACTGAGGGATCGTCCATAAATTACACAATGCTAATTTATAGACGATTCCTTAACATTTAATAGTCTATAGTTTTTAATGGTCTAAGATCTTCTTAGTCCTATCTTTTTTTTTTAAAAAGAATCTTAAGTTCTTTTAGATGGTGGTTTTCATTAAACTTGATGAGCTATTTTGATTTTTTATTTAACTTACGACTCTGCGAGGGCAAATTTTGATCTTTTTTTATTTATTCATTAGTCAAATTTAGCGTTGCATAATTTATGGACAATCTCTAATCTAAAAGTTAAGCTAAAAATAATAGAGTGTACTATTTTGATGGTTATCTAAAATCTGTTGTTGTTACACACTCGGTTTAGAAAGTGTAAATGGGGTGTGATAAAATAGCTGTAAAACTCTAAATTTCCTTATTATAATAATATTAAATTAATATATTAATATTAAATATTTATATTTTTGAAAATATTAAATTAAATAGAGTGGTTTGATTTAAATTTAAAATTAGAATTTTTCATTAATATTTTATTAAAAACAAACTTTTAAAACCTCCTTACTGTCTTAATGTTTTAAAAAAAGTTAAGGTCACTGCGTGGCAAATTTAAATCAATATTTTGCTTTTTTTTTTTCAGTTTTATTTAAAATGCAAATTAACTTTATAGTTCTATAGTTTTTATATTCTAAATATAAATATTTGTATACTCATTTTCCTTATACGAGCTCAACTTAGGTGTGAAAAAACTTGATATGTAAAACTAAAATAACATAAGTAAATAATCATGATAAATACGCAACAAATTCCCCTCCCGTTTTTAATAAATTTTTAGCATTTTTAAAAATCTTTTAGTCTGTTAAAGTGTATAATATTGTTACATACACTATTTAGTTTAGGATTAATATATAGATATTATTATTTAGTTCAGCATTATTATACATACATACATGTCTTAACTACTTTCACACATTTTTGGAATATGCACTATTTTTGGATATGCACTTGGAATGGACACTATTATAAAAAGAATTCTTTAGAATTGATTACTTCTGTTCTTTTAAAAAGATATTTTTTAAAAGGGGGGATTTAATGTAACCAACCCTCGGAATTATGGTCGGCATTCAGCAATGTTGACCTAACAGTTGACCTGAAAGTGTTTGAGGTTGGCAAAAAGTTGCCTATCTAGTTTTTATGTTTTATGGTCAGACCTTTGTATCAAATAATTTTTGCCAACCTGATGCCGACCTTAATATAATCGAGGTCGGCAAACTATTGCCGACCTCATTTTTCCTAATTCGGAATGTTGATGTAACTATTTGAGCTCACTTATTTTTTGGTTTTTTAGGAGAAACTTATTTTCGTGCCTGCATTTTTAAATCAATTCTGTTTTTTGTTTAATAAACATTTTGGTTTGCATGTGTAATAATTTTTTTTGTAGGCATAGTATGCATTTTTAGGAAATATTGTTATTTACAACTGCTGTTTTAAGGATGGACCAATTCAGTATAAAGTCATCAATATTTTTATCTTTTAATTCCCATATATATTTTGACAGCACAGTGTCTTTTGAATACTTTTTATTTTTAAAGGATTGCTTATGATTGGCAAAACGTTTTTTTCATTCACCCTCTGTTATGCCAATATATTGTTTATCAGGTACATTATTAGAGGAAACAACACATTTATATACCATATTTTTGGATAAACAACTTCCACTCATTGGACAATTTTGTTTTTGTTTATAATTACAACTTTCTGCAGTTTTTCATTTAGGATTTCTTTGTTGTTTAACAAAGCATTTATGTGATCTTTTATAATTTTTTCCATATTTTTTGTGCAACTGCAACTAACTTTAATTGTATTTCGATTGAAAATTTTATATAATTTATTAGAGGGCGGGAAACGCTTATCGATTATTTTTGCTATATGGTGGGTTGAACAAACATTTCTAGTTCTATTTTGCTTTTTTGTATTTTTTTTTTCAGGCTCAATTTTCAGTTCAAAATTTTCAAAACCATTTTTTTTAAGGCATTTTCAAATATTTGTTTAGAGGAATTGAATACATTTTCATTAGAGGAGTTTTGGTTTAACCTGTTATTAATTGAAATCAGGATTTGTTTTTAGGTGGATGATTTGAGTTAATATTAATATACAATAATTTGGGATGGATGATTTGAGTTAATATTAATATACAATAAATCATTGTTTGGTTTTTTGAAAGGTTTATATGAATTTTCAGAGAGGTTAAATCTGGCGTCAAGAAAGTTAACAATTTTTAAATTTATGTTTATTTCAATTTGAAAGCCAATATTTAAAAAGAAATTGTATAATATCTTTTCTAATTTTATTGAAAATTTTGTTGACCAGATTTTTTACGCATTACTATTAAACCATCATCGCGATAAAGCCTAAATCGTTTATTTTGATTATTTTACTTAATAAATCTATAATATATAGTCCAAAATTCACAAATATTTGCTCC